TGAAGTTGTTTTCCTAGCGTCATCCTTCCCTAACAACAAACTCTATTCTGGGCACTTCATTACTTTGAATCTTCGATATACATGTATAGTTACAACTAGCGTTAATTTGGGCTGAGGAGATGGATTTGTCGTTACAGAGGACCTAGGTGTGGTTCTCAGTACACCTGAGGTAGTTAACGATTGTGTGTAGCCCTGGTTCCCCAAGACCCAGTGTTCTCTTCTGACCTCTGCATGTGCTGTACGCAGTGCACAGACACAGGTGCAGACAAAACATTTAACGGCTTTATTCTTCCTCCTCTGCGTGAAACCTCACAATCTTCCATAGAGAGTTAGGCCTAAATATCACACCTGGGGAATGCCAACAACTACTCCTTAGGATGAACTTTTCTAAACTGAAGTTTCAGCCAGACACAGCAACCTGCAAATTCAACACTCAAGAGTCTGCACAGAAAAAACATTAGTTTTGGCTAGCCTGGACTACATTGCAGGACTGGCCCCTCTTCTTAAAAGAAGTAAAATTAAATAAATGCTTTGAAAGTTCAAAGTAAACAGATAAATTGTCAATGTTATGAAATATGGAACTCACTTTGCACAGGATATTGTGGTGTAGTGATTGTGAGCATGGATAAAGGTAGCAATCAGAGACCATACACTGGTTGGTAAATAGTATCCTACTGTTGCCCTCCTGGTTCTGTGATGAAGGATAATAATATCATATCTGTACTGGCTGGGTTTTTTGTGTCAATTTTGCACAAGCTAGAGTCATCAAAGAGAATGGTGCTTCATTTGAGGAACCGCATCCATGAGGTCCAGCCATAAGGCAATTTCTCAATTAGTGATCAATGAGGGAGGGCTCAGCCACTGTGGGTGGTGCCATCCCTGTGGTGGTGGTCCTGTGTTCTGTACGAAAGCAGGCTGAGCAAGTCAAAGGAAGCAAGCCAGGAAGCTTGGCCTCTGCATCAGCTTCTGCCTCCAAGTTCCAGCCCTTCTTGAGTTCCTGTCCTGACTTCTCCAATGATAGACTATGACCTGGAAGTATAAGCCAAATAAATGCTTTCTTCCCCAACTCGCTTTTTGGCCATGGTATTCCCAGCATAGCAATAGAAACCCTAACTAAGACAGTGCCTTAAAAGTACTCAGAGAGGAACATGGAAGTATGATATTCAGAAGCAGTGTGTAACATAAAGCGGACAGAGCCACAAGCACCATGTACTGGCCCAGCATAACCAGTCATCATAGAAATGCTAGTTATTAGTGACATTATTTATATATCAGTGCAGAATAATTTGCACACTACTTTTTTTTTCAAGATGCAAGATTGGTTTAGTAGCACATTTCATCTTCAAATTATCCTTTGCAGCCAACAATACAGGTCACCCCAGTTTAACATGTGGAAACTTGGGTCAAATAGAGGAAGTAGTGCCAACCTCCAGTCACAATTACAGAACATGCGTGTGCCTTCTATAATGTCCTCTTCTGTCACCTTCAGTAATCTTGGAAAATGGTGCATAAACTCCAGATTCTATAAGCTTCCCTTATCTTCTAAGCCATCATTCACAGAGTTACTGTCATTTCAAAGGTCTGACTGCTGAGAACCCCGGAGCCTGCTCTGCTCTGAAATGCATCACATGTTGTCAGCCCACATTTGTGACCTCCTTCTCCCCACTATGTTCTCTGGAGGTTAGAGGATGTAGGCAGAATGCCTACATTTACCTATAATTTGAATTATAGATACCAGTAGAGTGTACATATGCCCCAAACATATGCTAGCTTTAATAATATATAGAGAATGGAATTTTATAATATAGGTTTGAGGTTGTTTTTTTATATATGTATATAATTGTTATCATTAGAAATAAAGCTTTCTTATCTGTGAAATGGAGACAATAGAAACATCATGAAGTCTTTGTAAAGAATAAATGAATTAGTAATGAATACCAAGTACTTAAAACAGCCCCTAATAAACATTAGCTCACTAAGTTTTTCTTTTTTAATTATTTATTTTATACATTACAAAATGATTCCTGATTTATGAACATTCTCCATCAAAGTCTCTCTCAAATATCTTCTTCCCCTAAAGCACCAGTACTTCATGGCTATCGATATCACACTTTTAAACATAGTTTTCAGATAATTATTTTTCCATGAAGAAGAAATTTTATATTCATTATAAGACACTTATAATATGTGAAATCACCTATCCCTGTAGAAAGAAGAGCAAGCTGTGATTCTGAACCTATAAAACAATTTGCCAAAGTATAGAAGACCTTATTCTTGTCCTCACTGCCTTAGTTGTACATTATGAATTTCCATTATGAATGTATAGTATAGTTCAACACTGTTTTCCAAAATAATAGGAAATAGCTCCGTACATTTATCTTTGTTCTAGTATCTAAATTCTACTATTAGTTTTGGCATAAAAACCCAATGCCTGTTACAGTCAAAATTAGAAATGTGTCTCATCCATCACTAAGTATGTTCAGAGTTGGACCAACTAAGTTTTCTCTCAAATGCATGTGCTGAAAAACAGAAAATAGCCAGACACATCTAATTCACTATTCAAGCAAAAATAGGTTCTTAAAGGGTTGCTTGGCAGTGTCTGATTCCAACTGTATTTATTTGAAAATCAGTCCTTACCTGAAACTATGCTTAGAGTCGTCAGCAATGTTTTCTCAAATATTGTTCCATATGCATTTCCCAGAACACTAGTGTTACCAGATATTAATTTATACTATTTTAAAAATATACATACATTCTGGGCAAACTTTGGAGGCAGAGGCAGGAGGAGCTCTGTGAGTCTGAGGACAGCTGGTTTACACAATGAGTTGCAGGACAGCCAGGAGTATGTAGAGAAACCCTGTCTCAAAACAAACAAACAAAAATGCATGTCCACATTCAATGGGTCCCTGATAAATAAAAATGAGGTGCACTGAGTTAAATCATTTACTGAATTTTCATTGTGAAATATATCTAGTGTCTGATAGGTTAGTGTGGCCCTCTAAAAAGGATCACAGCGAGCCAGACCTCATAGAGTTGGGCCACAGAGTGGCCATCTCACACCACATCTTTCTGGTTCTGGTATTCCATGAAACAGAATTGGAAAGTTGCTTCAGACTGTAATACATACATGCTTGCATTTGTTGTCTGTATTCTTTTTCTCAGTTCTGGAAAGAACTGCTTTTTCTGCACTGAGTTTTTAGATCAATTCACTTATTTGCCCTTCTATAGGTAGGGAATTCATCTACCATGTCAAATCTAGTTTCTGTTTTAGCGTCAATTATTATGAATTTTAATTAATTGTTTTTTAATCTCCTCAGGCAATGGTCTCCTGCTCTGAAAACACTGTGTGCTAACTCATAATTGAATCACATGTCAGAATACCCCAGAAACTGAACTCTACAAAAAAGACATCAGTTCATCTACACACTGCTCCCCATTCAAAAGGTGGGAATTTGAATTTTGAATTATCACATGGAATTCGATGGGCAGATGCCCAGAACACTCAATTAGCATTGAAGACCTGTATATTCTTTCATAATGCACCATGCTAATAATGAGTAATAAGAAAAGCATTACATATTAAAACTGCATTAAGCAGAATGCTTGAGAGTTAGGATATAACACTCTTTCTAAAGTTTTCTACTCACAAAAAATACTGCTACTTCAAGAAATAAAAGTAGGTTCCTAAATGTAATGCTGTTTTCTTACAGCAGCTCTTCATTTCCATTGAAATTCTGAGACAGAAGAGACAGAGCAGCAGTAGAAAGCACCAGCTGCTCTTGCAGAGGACCTGGGTTCAGTTCCCACATGGCAAACCACAACACTGGCAGTTCCAGTTAGAGGGGATCCCATGTCCTCTTCTGATCTCCCTGTGTAACGGGCACAAATGTAGTGAAATACATACATGCAGGCAAACATGTAAGGTAAAAATAAATAAACCTTTAAAAACAAAATCTGAGACTTCAGAATTAAACATGAAGTGTCATGTCTCAACTGTAGGCATACTATTACCTGTATATAGGCATGCACACTTACATTGAGCTGAAATGAAAATATTAATGTGGTTAATCTTTATAACCTTCATGCATCGAACATGCCCAGTTCAAGCCTCTGGGGAAACTGCAAGACTGCAGACAGACTGCAGTCTTGATCACACTGGTTCCCATTTTTCCATGGACAGGAAACAAATGTTGTCCCATAAAATCACTGAGAAGGCTATCAGACACAATATTGTGATGAAGAGCAGTCATGTGAGTCTGTTAAGTTACCCAAAAACAGTTTAAATGTTTTAAATGCGTTGTTTAGGATGACCAATTTGATAGTATATTCCTTAACTTGTCAGACTTTTCTATTACAAGTCAGAAACTTTGGAATCGTCTCTTTTAAAACAAATCAAATCAAAACAAAACAACAACAAAAACAAAAAAACATTAAACTTACTTCTAAGTATTCAAAGCCACTAGCTAGTATCTGGATTCATGTTTCTGATACAAAACCCTTCATATAGCCTGAAGAAATTTCCCTAGGCACTTCAGGAATAATCAAATTTCATGTTAGCTATTAAATTACAAGCATCAGATTACGTCTTCCAAATGTCTCCGTAGAAATCCTAAAGGCCCATAGAAAATATGTTAGCCCTAAGCCAAAGCTGGCAAGTGAAACCCTTTACCTGTAATAGCAAAACAAAAGCCCGACCTTCAGAACCCAGCAGGCCCCTCTGCAAAGTGGCACGCGGTGCGCCTGGTCCCCATTGTCCTGAGCAAGTTCTTTGTAGCAGTGGGAGACACTGCAGAACAAAAATACTATTACAAATCCTTCAAAAAGAACATTTTTTTTTACTTCGATAGAGACTTTTGACATTATTTATTAGGTTCAAAAATGCTTCACAAAGCCTAACAATGGTTCTGTGGAAACCAATACATCTGAGGCCCTTTCTGTTGTTCTGGGCAGGCATTGATTGGAAGATGGGCAGTGCTCGCAGAACAATCCCTTCTCAGCAGTCATTGTAAATGAGCATTCACCACCATATTCACCACTGGCCTCACAGTCTGTGAACAAGTCGTATGGAAACGCTGGGGTGGCCGCGGGGCCGGGGAGGAAAACAAACGGGTAGGAGAGCCCACAAGCAGAGGCAGGGGCTCTTTGGCCGCACGGGAACGAGTACGGAAGAAGAAAGCTGCCTTTGACCTCCACTCTGTGGGGAGATGAGGATTCCTGGGGATCCTCTCTGGTGATGTGGCACCCGAGCCTCTTGTTAATGAACTTCCGCACACGGTTAGGAAATCTGTGTTTGTCAGCAACTCTGAGGCTGTCTCCTTATCCTGCTGCTTAGTTTGCGAGGAGGAAGTCTTAGAGCTGGTTTGCTGGCAAGAGGCGTTCTGGCTGGCCCTCCTGCAGAGACCAATGGCCGTGAAAGGTCTCGACACACGACCTGGAAGGCAAAGCAGAGTGGTAGCAGAACTCTAGCCTGGACAAGGATACAAGGCAGCAGCTGGGATGGAGAGAAGAGAAAATCCCTGACCACCCGTAACAGCCCAGATGCTGACTCTTCCTCTGCTGGTGCTGGAAAGAGGATCTGGAGTACAGGAACAGTGTTTCACAGGAATCTGTTCAAATCTCCTGAGAGAAGACAGAAGACATTGGTGACTAATGTGGGACGGCGTCTTCTTATCTGAGAACTTTGTAAAGAGAAAAGTTACTGAATCATGTTAGACGTGCTAGAAAGGATCAACGGCCTGCTCAGGCTGGCAACCGATCATCTGAAAACAAATTCAAAAAGCTAGTTGCTTCAGTGATTTTATTAGAAATTGTAAAACCAGATGAAAATGGAAACTGGGTAATCCTGAAGCTGAGTCTCTCCCACTGACATTCATGTCAGGTTAATTTCCCCTCTTTGCTCAATCGTACTTCCATTGCTCTATGCTCTATGCATTTTTATGTTTACAGTCTTACAGTTTTTATTTGAGAAATCCTACACATTGACCTATATACATTGAAAGAAGATTCCTTCAGTAATAAACTGAGATAATGTACATGCTTTAAATTATTTTCTGCAAGTCTCTAACGGTCTTTTCAGTAAAAGGAATATTCCAAGAATATTTTAAACAACCCACAGAATTATTTTCAAGTTCAAAAATGTGTAAAATTAGAATGTGTGTCTTCCTAACACAGGGTGTCAGATAGCCAATAGATCTCCGGGATGAAATTCGTTCCCACCACATTGCTGTGCCCACCGAGAGTCTCCTCCCGTGGACTTAACACACCTGACAAACAGACGAACAACACAGCAGCCTCATGAACCTCACTCATCCAAAGGGAGAATTATTCCTGAACATAAAAATGGAACATCATCTCTAAATGTCTAAATGAGTGACAACTTTCAAGTCCAGAGTGATGCAAAAGACTAAGAAGACAGTAGTACGGACTTCCAGACCTAGCAGTTGAGCCATTTAATTATCGGCCATATTTAGTGCATGAAAAATCTACTGAAACTCTGGAATTTACCATAACAGGATATGACATAGGCAGAGTACGTTGCCCTCTTACACTGAAAAATGAACATTCTTTCTTTTGAAACACCAGTAACCACGATGATGCATTCGGCAAGCAACAGGGCCAGTGTGAGGGTCTAACCACAGTCCAGACCTTCAGAGTCCAACCCTGGAACATCAGCTGGCCTCAGCGGTCCAGCTCTCACCGGGAACATGGAACCTCTAGGAGCTATGTCACTTGAGTGCTGAGGAAATTAAATTTGTTCATTCATTTATTCATTGGCTGACATTCAGGAACCTGGTAAGTGGCCAAGAGCATTCAAAACATTAAAAATACAGAAGAGAATAAGGCAAGTGATATCTCTGCACTTACACAGCTTATATTCTCTTTGTGAGAGAAGGGGAGGAAAGTGAAGGAAAAAGACTCATGAATTCTTATAAGTAAATTTAGAAATCTTAATTTGTTGATAAATTGTAAGAGAAAAATAAAGCAAGGAAGGAGCTTAGGAAAGACCAACGGTGTCACACTTCACTAAAGTCTTGAACATGGAAAATTAAATGGGTTAAATATGTGCAGGAAGACTATGACGAAGGGTTAAGCCCTGAGAACATTCTGCGTGGGCAAGACCCGTCATTTCCCTGTCAACCTCTCAGCGCAAGGGTGCTCTGACCTGGAGCCAGAGGGAGAGGCGTGAGTCCTGGCTCCAACACCAGAAGCCCAACAGGCCTCGGCTTCTTGAGGACCTCCACAGAGGGGTCCTCAAGACTAAAACTGAGGGTGTGTGCTCACATTAAACATTCCTTACACAGAGCAACACTCGGAGGAAGCTAACCGGGCTGGAGAGATGGCTCAGTTCGTAAACGCTGCCTCACAAGCAAACCCCCGGTGTGGGGACAGGTGCCCGCCGTCCCCGCAGTTAGCGAGGCAGAGATGGCAGCGTCCCTGCGAGGCTCGGGCCAGCCCGTCTAACCTAGTGAATGAGAACCAGACCAACGGACCCTGTCTCAAAAGGAAGAAGACTCCTAAAGGTGAAATTTGAAGCTGTTCGCTGGCCATCACACACATACTCATGTGCATGCATGTTCATGCACGCGCGTGCACACACACACACACACACACACACACACACACGTTTTTTTAAAGTGTTAGCCAACTCGCATAATCCGCATCCTATCATTGGGTCCAGCATCCCAGAAATGAAAGAATCCAGACTCGTATGTGCAAACCATCTTACATCACCCGTCTTAGCATCTGGAGTGCAGTCTCTTCCCCACCCCCCACCCCCCACCAAAAATAAAAATGAAAGATTCGCCACCGCATCGACCTGATCCCTCCTCCTCCATGTTCCTTCCCAGTGCTTTCCTCACGTCTCCTCTCCGGTTTGAACATCGTCACCATACACACCACAGGCGTCACAGCATCTCTGCAGTGCTGGGGGAACGCTCCTTAAGGAACCTTCCTAAGGATAATTACCCTTGAGTTATGAGAAGAGAAGGCCCAAAGAGCTCCCAGGGAACTGCTCGGCGGCTGCAGAACTGACGCTGCAGGGGGCGGAGACTTGACTCGAGAGCTCCAGTTCCCAAACCCTTTCCTTACGTCTTATTTCCTTAGTTATTTATTTTTAAAAATCTTTGTGTGTGTGCACATACGTGTGTGAGTGCACGTATGTGTGTGCTTGCGAGTGTGTGTGCACAGTATATGTTTGCATGTGTAAACACGCGTGAGCGTGCGAACATAGACTTGTGCACTTGTGTGGAGGACCTACTCGAGGTTTTCCGCCTCACCTTTCTCCTGGTTTGAGACAGCCTCTGTTTCGTCTGGTTGGTTGGTTGGTTGGTTGGTTGGTTGGTTGGTTGGTTGGTTGGTTGGTTGGTTGGTTGGTTGGTT